ATTGATACCAGTTGATGAAGTTAGCGGTGGATCAAAAGCTGTTGTTGTTCGGCTTTCAGAAGGTTGTCTAACTGCAAGAATACCATCACTGCTGTCTTTTACTATTAGCTCCGGTTTAGCACTAGCATTTGATGATAGGTGGGCTTCACTCTAACCAATTACACTGACGGTTTGACAAGTATGCATGCCTTCTGCAACTGCATCTGCATTTATTTCTACTTCACGTTCAAGTTGTACAGAACCTTTGTTCAACTTAGCAGTAATAGGCATACCCCTCATCTCATCATGATCAACCAAAGACAAATGTGAAGTATCATGATCATTATCACGAACATTCACTTTACCGTCAATTTCATCATTTTCAAACTATTTAATAACAGAAGTAGACAATTTTGGTTCCTCCTCACAAATCCTAAAAGGTTTTATAACTTCACTCTGACTAGTTATACCTAGTAAACTTGTGGAGTCAGAACTGCACTCTGAAGCAGCAACTCTATTCTGTGACACTATTCAACAATGGCTTACCAGTTGCAACTACAGACTTCTTCACCGCACCGTTATCGTCACACAATTCGGAGTCAGGCCTGGAGTTTACATTTAGCTTATCACTGAACTTGCTTACTGGTTCACAGTTCACCTTTGTATGCACCTCTTGCAAACGTGTAAAACACAACCGTGTTTGTCTTTCATCTTGTAACTTATCTGTTGAGGATGTACTACGAAACCTGTTACACTCACTAGATCTATATGCATTACTAGACATCATGGAGCCTTCTCGATATCCACCTCTCTGAGGCCTATTCGTCATCAATGATTGCGTTTTTCCCTCAGACTGCTCTATTCTAGGGGTGAAATTCAATATACTGGCAAACTTGCTCATAGATTGATTGACACTATCTTTTACTAGTTTCAGGATATCATAAAATTTTGGCTCGATACCCTCATCCTCCATACGGGAGCTTATCTTCACCCACTTCCTTTGCAGTCGAGTAGGTAGGCAGTATAGCAGAAAACTTGCTCAAAGCTTGGTTGACACTGTCTATCACCAGCCTCACAATATCATCCAACTTGGGCTCTAAACCCTCCGCCTCTAGATGTGAACAGACCTTTAAGAACTTTCCTTGTAGACAAACCGATAATCTCTTGGCAACTGTCCCAAGCACAGAACTTGAGTTCAACTCATCCATATTGTTACGATAAACGAGAGTATTTCCGTTTACCATTAAACTGTCCAAGAACTCTGCGAGTTCCTCTGAATTATCGTTTAACTCTGATCTATTACCTTTCACTGCCTCAAAAATACTGCGAGATATCATAAGTGGTTTTCAAACTTTTGACGTATTATCTTCACAGCCCCTGTATTTCCTTCGCTTCGGGAAAAAACTTGCAGCACTATATGGCTCTTGAAGCAACACCAGTGTAATACCTCAACAAATACATTAGCTTTATTTATTTATTTTATTTTAGATTACAGCTTGATTCCACACCGTATTTTTGGAACGAGTGTGGAATTTTCAGCGTGGATATCGGTAGCCCAAAATTCGCAGGCCGATCATAGATACCAGGTGTGCGTCGGCGTGTGATCGAACCTCGGACCATGCACATGGTCGGCGAGAGTCCTAACCACTGTGCCACCGACGTCATTTAATAGAAAGCCACTCAACATGACCTCAAACTCCTTGATAAACTGCGGGTAGTCGGCTGGGTTACCATCAAGTACCGAGGTTCAAATTGCGGAGCCTTAAAGCACCACTATCCCAAAACGGCGAAGCGTGAACATCCGACTCATCATGCATATCATTACAATCAACAGGAAACTCATCCTTTTTTGACTGCTTTCACGGTGCCAAGTCCCTTCTTTCGCCCATGCATTATCCAACGTCACCATAGGATCCAAATTGCGTTGATAATCCTTGTCCAAAGATGCTGGCTGCAGTCCGAGTAAGTACTCTCAGAAGAGTTCCAGAAAACGAACAGAGGAATAAAAACTGTCAAGGAACTTAACCCTAAGTTCCTGTTGTTACGAAGACGCTCCGAACAGATAAATACTACGACCGATTCTCGACTTTAACTCTAAAACACCAGTGGTTGTAAGAAGGAAGTTGTATTATTTGGTACAGCGCCGCATATTTGGCGCCGTTTTCGAAGTTTGTCGTTTTTTCCGCGTAATTTTCGTTTTTATTATTCTTTTTGTATTCCCATTTTTCAGGATATATCCTCAGTGTCACTGACTACTAACACAAATAGCAATATTTTTTTCATATCTAAACCTACCTTTGTAGTCACTGGATATTATCCTTACTGGTTTTCTTCTTTCAGGCTATTGATTAAGGTATTACCATTTCGAGCACCTGACTTTTGGTACCCATATTACGCTTGTTTTTTTGTTTTGTCATAACGTCAAACAGCCTAAGACTCGTCTACCTGCAGTTCTGTATTAACTATACACAAAATGCCAGTTAAGCTATCAAAGCGTCGTGCTTCATCATCGGCTGAAAACTTCAGCAAAAGACAAATCTAGCAAGCCTAAACAGCATGGTAACTTTCCCTTCATCTGACAAAGATGCTAAATAAGACAAGATCAGAAATCATTACTTCTTCACCTTCTTGTGTAATAAGTGATTTTATCAGGGGTATTTACAGTAGTACAGGTTGTGAGACAAGTGTAGGGGACTGTTACGAGAGTTTACTAACATTACAAATATGAGAATAATAATCCAAGTCAATGAAACGTTAAATAACAATATATTACCAAAAATGCAGTAACGAGTTATATCAATAAAAAGGATTACTTGGATATGAAGTTTAAGTCCGCTGCTACAAATTATTTATATAATCCACGGGAACGTTAACTGTTTGGGTTGCGTCTGCTGTGTTCCGGTTGTAGAATTGTCTTCGGTTGAGGATAGTAGACTCCTGCAATAAATCTGAAGTATACAACACGGTATGAGTGGAGCAAGTAAGCAGAAATGGCCAGAAAGAAGGAAGTTTTCAACAGTAAAGTGTATTTCCAATTGTACACGGAAGTTATATGTATTTTAACAAGAATAGTTTAAACAAAAATCATGTACAATATCTCTAATTTCTACAAATAACCAAAAAGTGTACAATCATATAGTTACGTACTACACACGGCTCCCCCCCCCTAGAGGTCCGGAGAGACTACCGGAAAATGTTAAGTAAAACTCTGAAGTAAATAATAATAGTAGTAATAATTTTAAGATAAAAATAAGGATACAAAATAACATGCATGTACGCGAGAAGGTATTTGAATCATGTAAAGTCTGAAAGCATATACAATTAGTTCAACAATAAAAATTGAAATAGAAGGTCATGTCAATTGAATGAGGTTGGTTTCTCATTTGCGCAAACCATGAACGAAGATTTTTAATGTATAAAGAAAAGTATGTTTATACACAGTAATTAAAGAGGGGAAAGAAAACAGAAAAAATATGAATTGAGAAACGATAGTTTCTGAAAAACACAATACCTGTTTGTAGGTGAGGTACATATAAATAAATAATAGTGACAGTAACATCAAAGTGTACGAAGAAATACTAACAGTCATGATAATACCCATCATCTCACGAACTTCGTCTTAAATTATCAGACTTGGTGCGTGTCTTGGTAGAGGAGCTTGTGGCATAGTTCGTGTAGTGCGTGAAGTATCACCGCCTCATTCTGAGCGTCGGTGGCACTGGTTAGGACTTTCGCCGACTATGCACATGGTCTGAGATTCTATCCCCTGCTGACGCACACCTCATAGCTATGGTCGGCCTGCAAATTTTGGGCTACCGGTATCCATGCTGAAAATTCCATACCTGTACTAAAAATACATTGTGGAATCAAGCTGTAATCAAAAAAAAATATGCAATGAAATCACAATTTAAAGGAGCCTGGTTACATCACGATCCGGAGGGATCTCAAATACTACTTGAAAGAACTGTATTAGCTCAAGCAACTGCCATTGGAAATCCATGGCTTCCACATCTACATTATGCATTTCGAGATGGAAAGTATTTACATCTTGTCATGGATTATGAACCTGGTGGTGACTTATATATATTTTTAAGCAAAGTTGGCCATTTATTGGATTCAAAGATGGTGCAGTTTTATGCTGCTGAAGCCGTAGAAGCTATTCATTCTCTACATCAAATGGGTTACATTCACTGTGATTTAAAACCTGAAAATTTTGCAATTGAAAGAAGTGGACACTTGAAATTAATTGACTTCGGTTCAGCTATCAGACTTCATGCAGATGGGAAATGTATCTGTCCTTCAATGGTTGGAACAAAAGAACACTTAAATATTGAATTATTAAGACAACGTGGACGACATAATCAAGAACCATTACTTGTCGGTCCAGAATTTGATTATTGGTGTATTGTTATATGAATTATTCTATGGTCAAACACCATTCTATGATGAAGATGACAAAATGATGCAAAAGATTATGGATTATCGGAAAACACTGAAATTCCCACCATCCTCTGAGATAACAGACTCAGCAATTGATTTGATTGAATCATTGATTGTTACCCCATCGAAACGGTTAACTTATGCAGATGTTGTTATGCATCCATTTTTCAAAGATGTTGACTTCGCAGCATTAAGAGAAGTTACGCCTCCATACTTACCCCCTGTTGGTGAACTTGATGATTTTTCAAATTTCTCTGGTGGTGGTTGACGTTGGTTTATCACGGGTACGTGAACCACCACTAGAGAAATTTGAAAAATCATCAAGTTCACCAACAGGGGGTAAGTATGGAGGCGTAACTTCTCTTAATGCTGCGAAGTCAACATCTTTGAAAAATGGATGCATAACAACATCTGCATAAGTTAACCGTTTCGATGGGGTAACAATCAATGATTCAATCAAATCAATTGCTGAGTCTGTTATCTCAGAGGATGGTGGGAATTTCAGTGTTTTCCGATAATCCATAATCTTTTGCATCATTTTGTCATCTTCATCATAGAATGGTGTTTGACCATAGAATAATTCATATAACAATACACCAATAATCAAATTCTGGACCGACAAGTAATGGTTCTTGATTATGTCGTCCACGTTGTCTTAATAATTCAATATTTAAGTGTTCTTTTGTTCCAACCATTGAAGGACAGATACATTTCCCATCTGCATGAAGTCTGATAGCTGAACCGAAGTCAATTAATTTCAAGTGTCCACTTCTTTCAATTGCAAAATTTTCAGGTTTTAAATCACAGTGAATGTAACCCATTTGATGTAGAGAATGAATAGCTTCTACGGCTTCAGCAGCATAAAACTGCACCATCTTTGAATCCAATAAATGGCCAACTTTGCTTAAAAATATATATAAGTCACCACCAGGTTCATAATCCATGACAAGATGTAAATACTTTCCATCTCGAAATGCATAATGTAGATGTGGAAGCCATGGATTTCCAATGGCAGTTGCTTGAGCTAATACAGTTCTTTCAAGTAGTATTTGAGATCCCTCCGGATCGTGATGTAACCAGGCTCCTTTAAATTGTGATTTCATTGCATATTTTTTTTGATTACAGCTTGATTCCACAATGTATTTTTAGTACAGGTATGGAATTTTCAGCATGGATACCGGTAGCCCAAAATTTGCAGGCCGACCATAGCTATGAGGTGTGCGTCAGCAGGGGATAGAATCTCAGACCATGTGCATAGTCGGCGAAAGTCCTAACCAGTGCCACCGACGCACAGAATGAGGCGGTGATACATCACGCACTACACGAACTATGCCACAAGCTCCTCTCCCAACACACGCACCAAGTTTTAAGTCTGATAATTTAAGACGAAGTTCGTGAGATGATGGGTATTATCATGACTGTTAGTATTTCTTCGTACACTTTGATGTTACTGTCACTATTATTTATTTATATGTACCTCACCTACAAACAGGTATTGTGTTTTTCAGAAACTATCGTTTCTCAATTCATATTTTTTCTGTTTTCTTTCCCCTCTTTAATTACTGTGTATAAACATACTTTTCTTTATACATTAAAAATCTTCGTTCATGGTTTGCGCAAATGAGAAACCAACCTCATTCAATTGACATGACCTTCTATTTCAATTTTTATTGTTGAACTAATTGTATATGCTTTCAGACTTTACATGATTCAAATACCTTCTCGCGTACATGCATGTTATTTTGTATCCTTATTTTTATCTTAAAATTATTACTACTATTATTATTTACTTCAGAGTTTTACTTAACATTTTCCGGTAGTCTCTCCGGACCTCTAGGGGGGGGAGCCGTGTGTAGTACGTAACTATATGATTGTACACTTTTTGGTTATTTGTAGAAATTAGAGATATTGTACATGATTTTTGTTTAAGACTATTCTTGTTAAAATACATATAACTTCCGTGTACAATTGGAAATACACTTTACTGTTGAAAACTTCCTTCTTTCTGGCCATTTCTGCTTACTTGCTCCACTCATACCGTGTTGTATACTTCAGATTTATTGCAGGAGTCTACTATCCTCAACCGAAGACAATTCTACAACCGGAACACAGCAGACGCAACCCAAACAGTTAACGTTCCCGTGGATTATATAAATAATTTGTAGCAGCGGACTTAAACTTCATATCCAAGTAATCCTTTTTATTGATATAACTCGTTACTGCATTTTTGGTAATATATTGTTATTTAACGTTTCATTGACTTGGATTATTATTCTCATATTTGTAATGTTAGTAAACTCTCGTAACAGTCCCCTACACTTGTCTCACAACCTGTACTACTGTAAATACCCCTGATAAAATCACTTATTACACAAGAAGGTGAAGAAGTAATGATTTCTGATCTTGTCTTATTTAGCATCTTTGTCAGATGAAGGGAAAGTTACCATGCTGTTTAGGCTTGCTAGATTTGTCTTTTGCTGAAGTTTTCAGCCGATGATGAAGCACGACGCTTTGATAGCTTAACTGGCATTTTGTGTATAGTTAATACAGAACTGCAGGTAGACGAGTCTTAGGCTGTTTGACGTTATGACAAAACAAAAAAACAAGCGTAATATGGGTACCAAAAGTCAGGTGCTCGAAATGGTAATACCTTAATCAATAGCCTGAAAGAAGAAAACCAGTAAGGATAATATCCAGTGACTACAAAGGTAGGTTTAGATATGAAAAAATATTGCTATTTGTGTTAGTAGTCAGTGACACTGAGGATATATCCTGAAAAATGGGAATACAAAAAGGAATAATAAAAACGAAAATTACGCGGAAAAAACGACAAACTTCGAAAACGGCGCCAAATATGCGGCGCTGTACCAAATAATACAACTTCCTTCTTACAACCACTGGTGTTTTAGAGTTAAAGTCGAGAATCGGTCGTAGTATTTATCTGTTCGGAGCGTCTTCGTAACAACAGGAACTTAGGGTTAAGTTCCTTGACAGTTTTTATTCCTCTGTTCGTTTTCTGGAACTCTTCTGAGAGTACTTACTCGGACTGCAGCCAGCATCTTTGGACAAGGATTATCAACGCAATTTGGATCCTATGGTGACGTTAGATAGTGGATGCGCCAGAGAAGTACGTGGAGATCTATTGGAAGATCTCGATAAGTAGACAAGAGTGGTGGAATATGAATTACGAATATGTCTGGTACCAACCAATATATTTGCGGTAGCCATAATAATCACAGTCTCAGAGCCTAACATCAAAAAAGGAGGGAGGGTGGCGCTAGCTGATCAGCAGATATGGGTGTGGTCACTAAGGTGAATCGCCCCATTCTGCAGGAACAGCAATATGCAATTTGACTGCTCGAAATTTTTCTGGTTTATATGAGGGCTTAGATCCTTGTCTTGAAAAAATAATAATGAACGCCTAAACAGATCATGCTTCTGCCTTAAAACATATACCATTCGCTCAGCCTATTGTTGAGACGCGACCACGTGGGCTCTGCACAGATTTATGGGGCATCTTATAAAATAACTTGCTATCCATTATCGGATCTTTGAATCCCGCTTCACAATGTCTTATCTCATTCATTTTCTAATAATATCTTTACTTGATCCTCATTATATTCCATTAAACCTAACATTTTATAGCTCTTTACGAATTTTATTCGACTTATTCTATTCCTATTATCTGTAGGGTACGGTTGATCACCAAATAGATAGAAAAGTATGAAATAAAATAACGGCATGAGGATATATGTATTGAAACCAAAAGTGGACATCACGCTAGCACGAACTACATGGGTGTCATTATACATTGCAAATGAACGTTGTCAGCTTAGGGAGTTTCCTTTATAAATGCATTTATTAATGACACATTGCACTTACTTATTTTAATATACTTCATTGATTCACCTTAGCACTTTTCTAAAACTGCTTTCAATCCCTTGTAAACGTTGTACCTACCTCAATTTTGGTTGTTTATCGCATGCCTACAACCACGGGATGAAAACGAAACGAAGTCAGTTTTCCCGCGCAACCTGGAGGACAACTGTACAATTCAATAATTATACGGCGTGGCTACGACAATGAGTGTAATTATATATATGTATCAAATATTTAACTGTTGAAGCATTATTAACTTGTGGATAATCTATGATTTGATATTATATCATACTGGATCGTGCCTGTAAAACTGGAATGCATTCTCATGTAAATATATATGTTTATATGAAAATATAAATTATTATTAATCTATTTGTGTTAAGTAATTGAATGGGTTCCGATTCATTCAATTGTTGGTTCATTTTATATTTGTCGCATTGTGTGAATCATCTCGTAATGTTATTGTGAGTACATCTGACGTCGTTTCCAGCGTTCTTAACTTGTGAACGAATCGAGTAATGTTAGTGTCAGTGTATGAGATTTGATACGCCGGGGAGGGGATTGTGCCGGAGTGATATGAAGCAACCAACACCCCGTGGACCAGATCAGTTTTGGTACTGTCGATAGTGAGCGAAGGAAATTTCCGTTTAATAAAGAAGATCCCGCACGCCGGGGAGAGCCTACTGGTGTAAGTCCCGCAATCCTTCAGAGGAATTACATCAAGACATGATCTATGAGGTTATGTGTACTGTTTGTATATGTGTGGTGTCAATGGAAGTGAACATTGAACGTTGTTTCATTGGCTTTGTTCGCCAGGAGTGTGCAACTCGACGGCGCGAATGCTTCAATCTTTTACACGTTCGAAGAAGACGAATGAAGACCAATAAAAGTATGTATATATTTCATATAAATTAAAGATTTACATGATTGACATACCGTTTGCACGGAAATGATCATATTTGACAAGTGCAATTTGAAATGGAACACTTTTTATGACATTTAAAATTGGAAAAAGCGAAAAGCCTTCTATAGACTTTATGAGAATAGATTACAATCTTTTGGTTTAAGTCTAAATTATAATCTTCAATATACTTATCGTGAGTAAAATTCATGCGGGAATTACGAAATATTGCGTTAATGGAAAGTAAGAAGTGCGGTGATGTATAGGTGCTAGAGCAAGACACACTGGATGCAGACCTTGTGATCATTATCATTTTATCAATCAATGGGGGTTCAAAAATTTATAAAACTCCACTGTAGATGGTAAGTACAGCGTGATTTTGGTATTAGCAGATACACTGGACGAACTTTTCGATGTTTAACAGAATTCATAATAGGATTTGTCCCGTTGTTCATCGTAAGTGCTAACAATATTCTGAATAACGCTCAAGTAATACAAACGTAGAACGCAGCATTACTGTTCATTTTTAGTGCTTCAATGCAATTCCTTCGAGAAGAGAAGAAAACAGAAGGAGAGGCGCAGAGGAAGCAAATAATAATAATTTAAGCAAACAATATGCGATAACCGCAGGGTTTCTTCCCCTTTTTTATAACTAAGAATTTGTAGTCAATGAGCTTTATAGAGTTACATATTAACGGTTAATAATAATAATACTTTTATTTCTGGAACAGAAACCAGCCATTTTTACAGGCATGAACATACGTACACTTCTCAAATCTTATAGAATATATAATATGATTTCTCAATCTATAAATAAGTTAAAAACTGTTAAATGTGTGAGAAACATTCAAAATGAAGTGTACAAATAAGGAAATAGATATGGCGTCAAATCTAAACGGCGATTGAAAAAATACGCGTCTATTTCACGCGGGAATTATAAATGATTGCGTTAGTTGAGGAAGGTAAGTAGCATTTCTGTACAGGTGCTGACGTGATACATAGGAGATGCAGAATAAACAAAACTTGTCAGTAAATGACTCATAAAGTGTTTCAAAGTCTATTAAACATTAAATTCACCTGTAAGTACACCATATTTGTGACATTTCCAGTTGTTTATGAGACCGACTTTGAACTTGTTAGCAGATTTTATAATATCGGTGATCCCGTCATTCACCAGATGAGCTAGCAATATCACTAATAAGTGGAGAATAGCGGCGCTGTATCAGTACCTTCGTTGAAAGCAGTATGTTTGAAAAGAGAAGAAGACACAAGGAAACCGGCAGACAGGTGCAGAAGTATATAAAAGGTGTCAATAATTCAAAATATATAACAGGCATGTGGTTCATCATTTTTTGTTGTGTTTTTTTTCAAGAAATATTTTCCCGATGTTTTACAGTCTTTTCTGCGAACAATTAGTTTAAAGTGAAAGACAGGTGATAATTTCACCTACTTATGTAGGTTGAAAAGGAGTTAAACACAAAAGTCAGAGTGCGTAAGCTATTTAAAAGAAAAGTGAGGACCTAATAATATCTGTTTTTCCGAAGTATACAGTTAGGTGTCCTTCTGAAGTAGCGGACTCAAACCATTTACTTTCATTCGGGAGTTTGTATCTAAACTTTGGCTTTAGGTAATTTTCAACTTCTATTTCTTTTTTCTTCTTATTATTTTTTATTTTTACTTTTTTATTTATTCTCATTTTGCAGAAGCCATTCGAACTCAGGAGCATTAGCAATAGAGTTTAAAGTAGTAAACAGCAACAGAAGTATAGGATAACAATAAAAAAATAAAAATTATGGCGAAACAAATGATGGTTTTCATTCTTACATAGGTTAATGTCGGGAATAGAAACTGAAGAAGTTAAATCCAAACGCCAAAGCACATAATATATGTAGAAGAAAAGGGGAAGTATAATAATAGTGATTTATGCTGTTGTTCTGATTTATACGGTTAGATGTCCTCCTGAAGTAGAGAAATCGTACCTTGAGTCCGTTTTCAAAGAGTTTGTACACAAACTGTGGCATACAGGCAGCTTTTTTATTTTATTTTTTTGAGGTTATTCAACCTCGCGAGCCTTAGCAATGGAGCGCATTCCCACAGATAAGGGGGGTTCTCTTATGTCCCCACCATCATATCCTCTGAAAAGCAGTCGCGACCCTCGCTCCTTTTAATTTGTTAGGCCCTGGCGAAATACTCCTTTTGTTTTTAGAAACAAATCTTTTTTATTGCTACGTGTCATATAGACAGTTAAGCATTCACAAGCTAACTCACCGAAACTCATGGTATGAACGACTACCTTCAGTCAGCCATTTAGCATGTATCGTCACTAACAGCATTTGTCAATTGAGATGAAGATTGAACGATCAATTCATGGTTGTTTGCTCAAAATCAACTTGCCCAATTTTCGCGGAGGCATCAATACGACAGTCATCGTCTCATCGGTCGCTGTTCAGAAAGAAGAGTGAAACATCGTCAGAAGTAACATAACGATTTATTATTGTAATATTTGTTTACAGACCTTAGTTGCTTAGTTCGTTTATTCCTTTTATATGTTGGTGTAACAATAAAGAAATAACAAGCAGCAGATCGGTGTTTTGGTTTTTGCGTCCGTTATTACTAAGCGTTTCTGAAACTCAAAGGAACCGCGTGGGCCCGAGCGTAGCGAGAGCTGGGCATTAACGGTTTATGAGACGAGACTGACAGTTTCTGACGATAGAAACAGATCTGGCGGATTGAAACAGTTGATGAAAGTTTGGATAGTCGCCGTTCATTTTTCTTGGTGCCGGTCAAGTCCTCTTTGAACAAGCAATATCTGGAACTTTTTTGGAATTGGTTCAAGTTCAACAATGCCTGGGTCAAAGAAGGGACAGAGTGTCTTGGATGCAAACAGGAAAGTAAGTCATGGTGACTTGTCTGTTAATTGTAACGATGTGTCTGATGTTAAGCATGACATGGTTGATGTTACTGTTTCGCCGTTCAGGGATGATAGGAACATCAAACTCCCTAAATTTGAACCACGATGTTTTGATGGAAACCCGGCTGATTATTTACAATTTGTAAAGGAGTTTGAGATCATGTTGAGTGGTTTTTGATTAAATGATGAATTGAAGTTAATGTATTTGATGAGATATTGCACTGGAGATGCTGCAAGAGCTATACAGTGTTGTAAGTTTATGAAGCCAAAGGAGGGCTACGATGAGGCTATGAGCATATTACGTCAAAGGTTTGGAAGACCTTCGATGATTGCAGGGAAATTATTCGAAGCTGTTAAGGGTAATGGTGGTCAATTACAGGATGACTCCCAGGCACTCACTGAGTTTTTGGATAATTTGCTAATCTACAAGAATGGAATGATTTCGATGAATCGAATGAGTGACCTCAACTCGAGTTTTATACTAGAAGTAATAGCAAGACGTCTACCTACTCGACTGCAAAGGAAGTGGGTGAAGATGAGCTCCCGTATGGAGGATGAGGGTATCGAGCCAAAGTTTGATGATATCCTGAAACTGGTTAAAGATAGCGTCAATCAATCTATGAGCAAGTTTGCCAGTATATTAGATCTCACCCCTAGAATACAGCAGTCTGAGGGAAAAATGCAATCATTGATGACGAATAGGCCTCAGAGAGGTGGATATCGAGAAGGCTCCATGATGTCTAGTAATGCATATAGATCTAGTGAGTGTAACAGGTTTCGTAGTACATCCTCAGCAGATAAGTTGCAAGATGCAAGACAAACACGGTTGTGTTTTACACGTTTGCAAGAGGTGCATACAAAGGTGAACTGTGAACCAGTAAGCAAGTTCAGTGATAAGCTAAATGTAAACTCCAGGCCTGACTCCGAATTGTGTGACGATAACGGTGCGGTGAAGAAGTCTGTAGTTGCAACTGGTAAGCCATTGTTGAATAGTGTCACAGAATAGAGTTGCTGCTTCAGAGTCCAGTTGTGACTCCACAAGTTTACTAGGTATAACTAGTCAGAGTGAAGTTATAAAACCTTTTATGATTTGCGAGGGGGAACCAAAATTGTCTACTTCTGTTATTAAAGAGTTTGAAAATGATGAAGTTGACGGTAAAGTGAATATTCGTGATAATGATCATGATACTTCACAGGTGTCTTTGGTTGATCATTATGAGATGAGGGGTATGCCTACTACTGCTAAGTTAAGTAAAGGTTCTGTACAACTACAACGTGAAGTAGAATTGAACGCAGATGCAGTTCCAAAAGGTGTGCATACTAGTGAGACAGTCAGTGTAATTGATCAGCGTGTAGCCCA